TGCGCCCTAGTTTTCCTTATTGTCCGAGTATTATGTGTTGTTTGGTATCTTTTTGTCGTCGGAGTATTGCCCACGCGTAGCATGGCATGGCCGCCTCCTCTCAAGGTTGGTGTGGGTTCATTTGCTTCCTACATTCTTCTTCTTCTTTTTTTTTTCTTTGGAAACACTCCATCTATTCTGGGGAGCAGCAGTTCAGTTAACCCCACATCTGGCAGGGAAAAATAACAGCATTTTAGCTCACACAACACACACATTCTTCAAAGACTTCCCATTCGGGCTGAGAGAGGCGGCAATACTACTCACCCTTCTAGCACAGTGACTCTATTGTCTACTCAGGGACACTCTTCCCATTCTTCGAAGACTTCCCATTCTTTACGGCTACTCGCTCACTCTTCCCACATTCGTATGTCTGTTCTCTGATTGTAATCAAACACTCTTTCTCACGAGTGTCCCTCCCTCTTATCCTTTACCTCGTTGCTGCCTTTGCTTTATTGGCCTCCTGTCTTCTTTGCATTGCACTCTACCCAAAGTCACCAAACCTGCTCAATCTCTTGCCTGCTCACTGTCTTCACACGCCTCGTGTCCCCCTTCCTCTTTCCTTCCTTTTTTTTTTTTTTTTTTTTTTTTTCAGTTGAAGCAGGTCCTTACAGTCCTGGCTCCTTTTCTGTTCCGTGGGGCTTCAATCCGGCCCCAATCCACTGGTGACAGCAGCAGTACTCCCGCAGTAGAAGCATGGCAGATAGTTGCTGTGGAATTGACAGCAGCAGCACCAGCACCACCACCACCACCATGGCCGGGAGCAGTAATAATAGTAGTAGTGGTATGGTAGTAGTAGTAGTGGTATGGTAGTGGTAGTAGTGGTAGTGGTAGTGGTAGTGGTGGTGGTGGTCCCGGTGATTAGTAGTAGTAGTAGTAGTAGTAGTAGTAGTAGTAGTCGGAGCAGCAGTGGCAGTAGCAGTAGCAGTAGTGGTTGCCATCTAAGAAGTAAGAATAGTAATTGTAATCATAGTAGTTTTAGTACCTCCTGGAACCCTGACCGGGCATAGGGTTGGAGAGGGAGATGGGGACCACCAGCTTTCATTTTCATTGGTCGGGTCATGTTCACACCTGCTCAGTCAGTCCTCTGGATTCCAGAGTAATCAATGCTGGCAGGCACCCTCCAGACACCATCCAGTTCCTCTTCTTTGTATCATATTGTATCACACTGTGTAAGGGACGCTGGACCCGTTTTCCAGCAGGTGACGCTGCCCACCAATAGATGGAGCCTCTGTACAAAAAAAAAAAAGAAAAAAAAAAAGTTTTAGCACCTACCACATCCATGCAATGCAGTTAGTAGTAGTACCTCATGCAGCATGATAGGAGCCTTACTAGTCTTTTTTTTATATTTCACACATTTTCTTTCCGTACTGCGGTACTAGATAATAT